CCTACTCCTGCCTTTCCATTCTACTCAGGCCTTAAAGGGATTGGATGGTGCCCCGCCTTACTGGAGAGGGTGATCTTCTTTACTCTGTCTACTGATCCAAATGTTAATCTCTTCCAGAGACACCTTCCTCAACACACCCAGAGATAATGTTTTACCAGCTATTTGGGCATCCCTTAACCCAGTCAAGTTGAAACATAAAATCAGTCATCACATTCCCCCAAGACTGGCATCCTGGGTCCTTCCAAATCAGGCCCCTTATTCCCCAGCACCATATCCACATGGCCCTGCTCCCCAGCCATATCAAATTTCCCAAGGTCCTAGACCACAATGAGTACTTCTATCCTGGTCATCCAGATATGTGGGCGGTCCACAGCATACCCACTGCCCAGGTGAGAGACTCTGAATGTGTCATCCACCTTGCTCAGGTGGGCTGAGGAATTGGGCTAAACAAGGTACTATTGATGGAGCCAGTAACGTGTGCCAGGCACTCGGCTAAGAGCTTTACGTGCATTATTTCATTTAAGACGTATGCAGAGGCTGTGAAGTAGGAATTGTTATCAACTCCATTTTACAGACGGGGAAATGTTGAGGCTCAGAGAAATAAGGTAACAAGCCCAAGGTCATGGCTAGTCAGCTCAGATGGACTCCGGAGACCAGGCTTTTTGCTTGTGCCCATAGGGTCAGCTGGTGGAAGCTGTCACCTCTGCTTCCCTTCCCCTGGGGGTCACAGCACGGCACACGTCAGCCTTCCCGAACACTTGAGGCACTGGTTCTTGTCGAACGTAAACAAACACTTCTGACAAACGGCAAGATGGATGAGAGAAACCACTGGCCTCCGACTTGCGGAGGAGCTTGGCTAGCACTAGACAGGTGAGTTGCCGGGGTCTGAGGAGGAATTCCCAGAGCCCAAGACGGAGTCATGCCCAGATCCTCCCCCAGCTTTGTCTGGAAAGAGCCCTTCACCCTCATGAATGTTCCCACTTCAGTATATGGCAATTAGCTACCCGGCTGTGGCCCTGGACACGCACCTTGGCTTCAGAAAATCTTCCTTTTCGAGTTTTCTCGCCACACTGGAGCAAGAATCCACGTGCTTGGAAGATACAGGCATTGTGTGCTCCACAATTTTAGGGCTTCCCAGAATCCCAGACCTGCCACATGTAGTCAGGATAATTAATGTATGACCTAACTGGGGTGTCTGATGGGGCTGGAACCTCACCAGACCCCAGAGATCACGTGGGTTGCTGGGGACCTTTAGGGGTCTTGTGGTGTCAGGCGATATTCAGTGCCAGGTTCCCTTTTTTGTTGCCTGTTCGTCCTAAGGCAGGAAAGTGCACCTAGGGCAGGTGGTCCTGTTCTCTAAAGGTCTTGGAGGCAATCATCTCCCCTGACCCTCGATTTTTTTTCCTCCGTGAGCCTGGAATTCGAGATTGGTTGCTGACCTGTTTGGAAATCCTGCTCTGGTACCTCAGTAAGCATGGCATATGGACGGTCCCTCAGAGCTCCTCCCTGAAGGAGGATTGTGTTCCAGCCCTGGAACACGAGAATTAGCTCCAGAAGGAGAATCAGAACCTGATCTGTATTCTGGGCAGGTCACCTAATCCCACCCCATCCTGGGTGATGACTGAGAATCACCCTTCCTATGGCTTGGCTAAGGGTACAAGGGAGGGCCACTCTTCTGACTCCTTAACCTCAGAAGCAACCCCACCGACTCCCTTCCCAGGGTGTGAGTTTCATTTTTACACTGAAAAATAGGAAAGAGCTGTCTTTAACTCTCTGTTCCCCAGTTTCTGGAGGGAATAAGAAAGGAAGAAATCTGGGTTCAGAGAATGTTTGATTCATGTTTGATTCTTGTTCTCTCTGCGTCCTGACTTCTAGTAAAAACAGGAGTTTTACTGCTGGAGTTGCTTCTTCTGTTGACTTCTGATTCTGACTCTGTTCATAAAGGGGGCTGGTGGCATCCATCATTCAACAAATATTTCTGTTCTAGGCACTGAGGATACAAAACAGATAAAATCCCTGTGGGTGTGGACGTTACGTTCTAGTGCGACACGCAGAAAATAAACCAGATAAATAAGTAAAATATATGATGTGTGGGAACGTGATCATTGCTAAGGAGAAGAAAGTAAAGCAGAAAAAGTAGAGCAGGGAAGGATCTAGGAAGTGCCTGTGAGGGGAGGGAAAGTCAAGTGCTCAGTCCCTTTCTGTGACTTTGGATCATTCTCCTGATTTCACTGTTCTAATTTGTGTTGTCAAAGAGGATAATGCCTGTCTGGAGGATCCAGGGCCCAGCATGTAAGCATACAGAAGGGGCTCAATAAATATTTTTGCTGGAAACATACAAGTGCTTTGCACATGCAAGGCAGGATGATGATGATGACAAGGATGTTTGAAAGGTAAACTGCAGATTCTTGAATTCAGAGTCCTCTCCTTTTTCTTCAGATGACAAGTATCCATGGAATATTCCAGCATTCCTCAATGCCGTCTGTGGGTCCTGAACGTTCTTGGTTTGCTCCCAGACTGTAATTTCAATAAGGGAATATTCCACATACTTTTTTTTTTGTTAAATAACACTGAAAGTACTGTTATGTAATAAACGTCTCCATCCAAAAAAAGACCAGAGGAAAAGCAGAGAGTGTTTTTTTGTTTTGTTCTGTTTGTTTTTTCTTTTTTCTGTTTCTGTTTATTTGTTTGTTTTTCTCATTGTGTTCCTTGGCTGATCCAGAGCCTTCCACACAGAGGGATGCTAAAAGGTTCTGGTTACACTGCAACCTCAAAGTAGCCCTTACCTTGGTGTGTGTCCTTGGGCAACTTGAGTCACTTCTCTGGCTTTCCTCATTGTCTGTAAATGTGACTGTCAATATCGGAACACCCTTTGGGGCTTGTTAGGCAAAAAGAGCAAAGGAATAATTGAAAACCATTCAGTCAGTAATGTCTAATGATAATAACCCTCAGGAGAAAGATTCCCTCTGGGTCCCATCTGGAGGGAGTGAGAGCTCTCTGCTTCAGTGGTCTGATCTCTGAGCTAGGGTTTTCAGATCAAACACAAGACATTAAGGTTGAATTTGAATTTCAGATAAACAAGGAATCTTTTTTTTAAGTTTAAATATGTCCCAAATATCCCATCTAGAATCTTCTAGGATTCGGGAGCTGGAGACCCTTCTAGACCCCCTAGCCAGGGACAACAAGCTCAAATATCCAGAGAGACCAGGCAGGTGACACCTGGGTTTTTATGTGAAATCTCCCTATTTTTAACTGTTAGCTACACATTCAGTTAAAAATAAAACCCACTGTGTGGACAAAAGGAAACAGCTCTGGCCAGTTTATAAACTATGATGAGGCCAAATCCTTTCAAGCATTGTAAAGATGAGGAAATGAGGCCTCGGGAAGACAGTTGTCAGCAGGGCTACACAGCTAAGGTTTCTCAAAAGATAACAGAACAATCATCCTGGAAATGTTGAAGACAAGCAGTCTGAAAGAACCAGGGCGGGAGCATTCCACGCAGGCTGGAGAGCGGTTTTCCCCTCTATCAGCTTATCAGACTCTGAGAACATTCTGTAAGGTGAGCTGAGCGGGTTGAGGTCACTGAGCATCAGAAAGGTAAAGTGTCACCCTCTGCCTAAGGTCACAAAGGTAAGTGTCCACAGGTAAGTCTAGGGCTGTTTTTCACTCCACCTCTGATTGTGATGAGATAATATCTAAGCTTCCTTTAGAATCCTAATAGAGGCAAACTCCAAATCCGATTCTCTACCTCATAAACAGAAGTGAGTCAGGAGGCCAGGCTGAGTGCTGAGACTTTTGACACAGTTCACAAATAAAGAAGGGGTTAAGTAGTCAAGGTTCCAGCCATGTCGCCAGGCTCGTAGGCATTTACCTTGTGTTTTCTGTCCTAGCAGTTGTACACGTACAGCCTGTGCTACTGCTGGACATTGATTTGTCTCCTGTACATCTTCGCATAGGAAGGATGTTCTGAAAGGTGTTCCTAAAGATTTTGATGGAGAAGGAAAGGAAGGACACAAACGGAACAAATATTCATTGCGAGCCTAGCGTGTGCCATGCACCGTCAAAGCCGTGGCATATAGTCCTTTCCCAGCTCTTTGCGTATCTGAATGATTCTTTTTTTCAGGTTTCAGCTCAGAGATCACTTCGTCAGACTGCCTTCCCTGTCCACCCTCTCTAAAGAGCCCCTCCTCCCCCACTATCTCTTTAACTTGCTTAGTTTCTCCATTGCATTAAAATCTGTATTTATCTTGCTAGTTTAAGGACTAGCTCCCGCTACAGACTGCAGACTCCATGAGGTCAGGACGGCATCTATCTTGTTCTCAAGTGTGTGTCTAACTAATGCCTCTTAGGGGATTTGGCATGGTACGTGCTCAACAAACAGGTTAAATATTTACGAATAAATATTTATGATAATACATATTAATGTTCCAGCCTTTCGACTAATCGAATATCGACTAATCGAATAAGGACTAATCGAATTTCGACTAATCATTCTTTAAGTTTCTCTAAGCCTCGTGTCCTATTAAGTAGGAGGTGCAGATACAGTTCTAGGGAGCGAGAAATTGTTAGAATTGGCGCGAAGAGCTGTAAAGCGTTTTTCCCCAGGTCACACAGCGCTGCCTGTGAATTTATACTTCCTGGACTGATTATGGGACAGCTTGCAAACAAATTATCTGCAAACGAATGAAGCCTATTTTTAAAGATCCCTGTGCCTGGAAGTTCTAGGCGGTGACACAAGAGAATCCTGAGTTCCGACCCCGAGCCAAGCCCCGTGGTCCTCGAAAACTACGAACCCCAGGATGCACCGCAGTGCAAGGGCCCAGCGCTCCGCGCGCGGTCCTCCCCAACGCGCCCCAGGTCGCCGCCCCTGAACCAGGAAGACGCCCCCTAACCCGGCCCGCCACGCCTCCAGGGCCCGCGCGGGGCCTGCCGGGACTTGTAGTCTCCTCGGGCTGGGAGTGCCCGCCCTGGAATCTCTGCCGCCGTCTGGGGGCTGAGGTAGCGCGGGCACGCGTGCGCAGTGCGCGGGCGGGCCGTCGTGGGCGCCGCTCCCGGCAGCTCGGTGCCTGTGGGACCAGGGGCCGCGGCGGCGCCGGTGCTCCCGAGCGAGGGCCGCCGTGAAGTTCGGCGTGAGGAGCGCGGCCGCGCCGGGGCGGGGTGAGCAGGGCCGGGCTCCGGGAGCGCGGCGCCGGCTGAAGCGAGCTGGGAGGCTCGAGGGACCGGCGGGCGCTGGTAAGTGCGGGCCCGCGGGCGGTGGGGGGCGCGGGGACCCGGGCTGCGCCCCGAGGCCTCTATCCCGGCCGGTCGGCCCGCGCGGCTGCACCTGGTAGAGGCCGCGGGGCCGGCTCACCTGCGCGCGCCGAGTTCTGGGCGGCGGGAGGGGGCGGCGGCGGCGTCTTCCCGCGGCTCTTTCCTTTATTGTTTTCCTGACCTCGGCCCTCGGCGGCGTTCGGCCGAGGAGGGTGGGGAGCCCGGCGTCGGTCGCTGTCGCCGAGGAGCCGTGCGGTGGCTCTGCTAAAAAGTACCGTCGCGCCCTCCTCCCGGACGCCCGGCCGGCCAGCTGTCGGGGGATTCCCGGCGGGCGACGCCTGTCGAATGGCTAGACTTAAGGGCTGAGCTCACGGGGGCTCAGCTGCCTAGGGCATCGTCTTGTATTATGTTAATGCGCTTTCACTTTAGGACTCGCCGAGTCAGAAGTCGACTCCGCCCTGTGCCCTAGCATCCTGCAGTATTAGTGCTTTACCCTAGCACTTTAATGGTGCAGTGACCAGTGCGAAAGTTGGAAGTGACTTGTCCAGGGTCACGCAAGTAGGACCAAGGAGGCGACCAGAACCCAGGTCTTTAAGCTTAGAGGCCAGCTGCCAGTCTCACCGCTTTGGGACCGCCTTGAGTGGTTTGTGGTTTATTTCAAATTCTTTCTATTGACCCTCCTGGATAGACCATCAGAGGGGAAAGTGTTGTCATAATGAAAGTCGTGTTTTCTGCCTTTGGTAGAATTCTAGTTAATGTTGTGCCCAACAGCAGAGCATCTGCGCCCGGCTGGGCACCTACATAATGAAACTCGATCGCTCTGTTGGGGGCAGGTCCTAGAGGAGGTTATAGGAGATACAGTCAGGCAATTTGGGCCCTTTTTCCCCCTCCGATTTCACCTTCCAGTCCTGTAATGCTTGTTTTCTTACTTTATGATTGATCGTTGTTGGTTTTGATAAGATTTTCTTTGCTTTAACGGAGTCGTTGCCGTTTGTCAATTCGTTTTTTTAACTAGAAAATCTTATTTCCTGTGTGCTTAACGACTGGAACCAATAGCGCACTATGCGGTTTATACCATAGTCTTTTATCTGAGAACTACTGATCTGCCTGCTTTATTTCCCCCCAGGCACTCAGCTTACACACTTTCTATGTTAGTTTAAAGCCATTGAAACTCTACAGCAAAATTGGGGTAAGCTTTATATGATTCAGAGAAAAACTTGAAAAAATCATTTTGTAAAACTAAATGTTTTTTTCACAGAAGAACTTGAAGAATTGTTATTTAAAAAATAGTAAGATTCATTCTGACTAAAAAGCCTATTGCTTTTCATACTCAAATTTTCATAGTAGCACATTTGTGGCAAAAGATATTTCCCCAAGTAGAGTTAGTTTAAATCCTTAACTTGGCCATATCTTCCCAGGGGAAATGACATTTTAGAATATTTATGTATTTAAACAAGAGTAGTTAAGCTTAGCAGAATTTGAGTTAATAGTTAATTTACTTTATAGCACTGTAAACCCTACAGTGTATCCATTGACAGGATTCTCTTGAAGAGTGTACCTGTATCGAAGGATATGGCCATGCATTTGTCATTTGTGGTAAGCAGAGGATAACTTCGTGGCATTAAGGAGATGTGATTTATATGTATTGAAACTGCTTCATACCTCATTTTATCTTGTTAATTAGTATTTTTATTATTGCTTTTGAGAAAGGGGTGAAGTGGCAGGTTTGTATCCCCCTCCCCCTTAGTTTTAGCAATGTAGCAAAATAGGAAAGAGGTGGTGTGTAAATGTGAGTTTGTCATAGACTAGGAGAGACAGTAAAACAGGATAAGTATACAATTGTTAGGAAACTGCCATGAGTTCATAAGCCGGAAGGACCGTTTTAGAATTGTTTAAGGACATTAAGAATAGCATAGAGTTATTTTCTTTAAAAAGTCACTGTGGGCAATACTCACATGTTGGTTGTTAATATGTAGGTTGTGATATTGAAGAGCCCTAGGAGAATAACTTGGGAAAAGTGTAAACATTTTATCTTTTTATAGGGCTTTTTCTCAAAAAACATTTAATGCAGCTTAAAAAAAAAAGACTTTTATTTAAGCCTGGAAGTTCTTACATTCCTACTGCAAAACCCACAGTTACTTCTACTGATGATAATTTGTAAACCAGAATGAAATCCATGAAGTAATTTATTAGCATAATTTAAGTCGGGCTTTGACATTGATGTACCGTTTGATGTTAAATAATTGTTCTTGTTTAAATAACTGTCATTTAAGAACGAGGAAGATAGTTTCTGAATAAAATGTAGTAATTATTCAGATGTGACAGTAGTTACTCACACTCTGCCTTTATTAGACAGAACATTTCAAGTTCTATAGCAGTAACTGCCTCAGCTTTATTACTTTTTCACATGCTTGAGCATTTTACTTTTGATAATATTAAAATTTGATTTTAAATTTCAAGGTGATTCTCTCATTTAGATCTGCAGTGATACAATAAAATGGCTTTATTAGGAGATAAATATTACCATTTAGTTTTAATTCTTTTGGCCATTTGTAAGTACCTAGCATTTGGAAATTTATTGACTGGTATCAGAAAAGAGTTCCTAGGGTAGAAACTTTCTGTTGCTTTAGATGCTTGTCTGCAATGCTTAATTATTTTTAGAAACAAACGTGTGGATTTTTTTTTAATTTAAAAATAAATATTGCTGGTATTTGTTGTGGCAATAGGATTTTGTTATGCTTAATGAGTGACATTAAACCATTGAACTCTGAGTGATATTTTTTCCCAGTAGTTGCTGTATGATAAAGAACACGTGAGTTTGTAATTCCTAGAAGATATTTAAGCAGACACGTGCTTGCTGTTTATTTTGGTAAGCCTTTGATTAGTTGAATTGCTTTGATTCAGGAAGATGGTATTTTGAGGATTTTAAATCATAAACATTCTTTGCACGGGAATTTCTGTTGAATGTAAAAGAAAAATCAAAGTCATTTAGGATATTATTTTAATACTTAAGTCTTTAGAGTCTTAAAAATATTGAAGTCTTAAATATTTTTTCCTACATGGAGCCCTTATCAGACTTATCAGTCTGATAATTTTATTCTTCAGAAAGTTGTGGTTTTACTCCTTTGGGTAGCCTAGCCTTTAATAGTTTAACCCTTGAAATCTGGATTCTGGATTCAGTTTCACCTCTTCTTGAAGAAAGGACAATCACAGGCACTTAGAATTGGAAGTGGTCTCAGAGGACTTCTAATGTAGCATCTTGCTGGGTACAGTAAATCCCCCATGGGAATTTCCACATCAGGTGTTCCTGTCATTACTGAGGGCAGTAATGCTGTTCCATATGTCGTCAGGTTATTGAGCAGTCTGAGCTTAGTGAGAACAAATTTAAGACAGTTACATTTTTCAACATTGACTGCTTTCAACTATGCTTTGTTGGATCTTCCCTCTCCCTGCTTCCTCATGATTTCATGGGCAAATGGTAGCTTTTCTATCATTTACAGCTATTAAAAGCTCCAGTCTAATCTATTTCAGTTTAAACCTTCAATCTCCTGTTAAAGCTCCACTCCTCCTTTAACCCAGTATCTGGCCACTTATTCCCTGAAGCACTTGGAGTGGGGAGGGATTGTGATATGCTCCCTGGATACCTCCTTCTTTTCCCTCTTTGTGGATGCATTTGAATAGAGACTAGTTAGAAGAAAAATGAAAAAAGGCAACTCTTTCTTACCTGGTGTTATTAAAGCCTTTTCTTGATTAACAGTGGCGAGCCATTAATGTCTAGTGGTAGGCTTCCAAACTGGAATTTTTGGTGAGATCTTGCAGGGAGAGTCCCCACTGCGCAGTCCCTGGATATGAAATTTGCTGTGGGTAAACCTTTACCAATCTACACTCCCTCCTCCTCGTTTCTGTCCTCTCAGTCTACTTGCTGGTTCTTATGAGTGTTTGGGGGTAAGGTGGGTTTCTCTCTGCAGCCAGATTTTTTGATAACAGCAAGACAGCTCAAGTCCAGCTACCTTCTGTAATTTACACTTAATACACTGGAAACTTACTTCCTTTTGATGTCAGATGGTGGCCTGCAGCCTGCTTAAGTCTGCTCCCTTTCTGTGCCCAGCAGTTTCTCATCAATTCTCTTTGTCCCCCTGCTCAAATAGGCACAGGGTCAGTCACTCACTCAGTCTACTTCATAAGCAGACATTGAACTGGAGAAAGAGCTGACAATTTGTCCTTCTTGTAGGCACTTCTGATCTTGGTGAATGCTTCTCTTGGGGCCCCCTACCACTGCTTTTGGGTGACCATCACCTTCCTTCTCCCTGAACACTTGGAATACTTGTGTTTTTCCCTCTCTTCTGTCAGCTGCTCATGTAGAGTGGAATGACGGTAAGACGTTGGTTAGAGTACCATAGCCCTGAGGTGTGTGTGGGGTGTCAGGGCCAGACTCCACAGGTATTTGATCCTTAATGTCTGTATATCTTAAGCTTTGTGTTTGTCGACAGTTTGGGGACAAGAGTAGTCTCATTCAGCATCTAATCAGGACTTCAGTAGTGAAGTCCTGTGGGCCTAATGAAGTCTCACTGTGCAGAATTCAATTTTTCTTTTTCTTTTCTTTCTCTCTTTTTGATTTGTTTTAATTTTTTTTGACTTGCTTCATGGTTCCTGACTGATGAAGTGTTGACTGTGTGTGTTAATTTATGAATGTTTGTATGATCTAACTACGCCCTTAGAGCACAAGTAAAGCTGAAGGATAGATTTCGTAGAGGTTTTAATTACACAGTTTTATCTGTTCTTACCTCATACTAGCTTTACTGAAAGTATAAATCCAAACAGAAATATACTATCGAACCTTTTTCCTTCCATCATCTAAGCAAACCAG